TGGAATTATATTTAAATTAATGATTACGTAAAGGAATTAACAAAGTAGAAAATATATTTCATATCTGAGTTTTTGACACAGAGGATCGATCAACTCTTACGAATACAAAAGTTTAATATTTCATAAAAAATTCCTCACTATATGAGGATCACAAGAAAAAGGGTAAAATTAATGGTGGTAATTGTGTGGAATAATGACAAATGCTTTTCACCGTAGGCGGTTACTTGGGAGATGCCTCTTCCGTCATCTGTCGTTCTGGCTCATGGACACGATTAAGAAGCTTTTGCAACGAGATCTGCTCCCACATATGATACAAAAAGGCAGCAACGAAAAGGAGAACCACACCGCCCACCTTGTAGCCCGGCTCAGCCTTATCCCCATACACATTCCACTGTGGGAAGACAATAATCACGAGTGACGTGAATGGCCCGGCTATTTGTAGTACTACAGACGCCAGTGTCGGGGATTCCTCGTTCAAGTAGGTACACCCCACAAAGCTCAGGAGGGTTCCAAACGAAGTGAGTAACCCGTAACGAATATTATGCCATGAACTGAAGATAAGCTTGAAGGATTCCGAGAAGCCTTTTGCGGCATCTGATGCGGATGATGAGGTTCCAAACCATGGAATAGCATCAATAGGAATTAATACGATCACCAAGATGATCTGAAATAGGATGCTGCCGACGAGCAACACCAGTTTGCCCGAAATCTCGCGCACGTTCTGGCGGCCCCAGGAACGTTTCTCGGCCAGAAGAATCACATCACTGGCGAGGCTCGAGGGTGACTCGCTAGCATCGGCTGCGGGTTGCGTTGTCTTATCGACATTCTCAGATGAATTCTGTGGCTTGGGCTCTTTTACAATCAGCGCATCCAGGTAAAGACGCTGAGTGACACACCATAAACCGAAGACAACGCAGCTGAGAAAGTAGATGAACGTCCAAGCCAAGCTCACACCCTTCGCATCGTCCTCGCTGGCCTCCTTAAAGGTACTAGCGCTTGGAATAAAAATACCAGCGACCAGCAGAATAAATGAGACAATGAAGAAAAAAGACAAGTAATCACGCTTGCGCTCCTCCGGAATGAATATTAGGGTCCATACTTGCGCACTGAGGGGTATGGTGCATAAAAGTATGGACTGCAAGAGCATGGGTGTGTGGGTAAACGAGTACACCTGAAGTACAGAACTACTGCCATTGAGAACTCCCGACGCAATCAGAACGGCAAAACGATAAAGAGGCCCCCGCATGCGGTTTGTGTCGACAACAGCGTGCCACATTTCCTTCACCCCATATACCATGGCAAACACGATCGCCAACAACATGAAGACGGCCTCAATAAATAATATAGTAATAAGTAGAATCGCAAGTGAAATAGAGTTTCCGCCGCTGCTCGTCTCTGTAAGAGTGGCATACCAAAAGTTTTGCGCAATCAGCCAAAGGACATTTCCAATGATCACCATGACAACAAAAAGAACGGCAAAGAAAAGACCCACCGTAATTTTCTGATTTCGTACATCCTTGTAGGTTTGCACAAATTCATTCAAAACGGATTCCTTGAATTTTTTCACCAAAGCAGGCATTTTGGGAATGTGGATGATTTCTTGACTTTTATTTACTTTCTGGTCCACACAATACACTTGTCGTAAAGCAGTGTGCGTGCTGTTAGAGGTCACCCCTAAAAAGGACTTTGTGTGCTATAGTAACGATGTAAGTATAGAGTAGCAAATGCCCAATGTTTCAGTTTACACAGGGTGTAAACCAATGCAATCCAAGCGAACCAATGTGTGGCGCTGATATGCGTATTAACACGAAACCAAGCTTAGAAGGATAATAGACAAAAAAGGGAAATGAGGAGAGTGAAGTGGCAGGGGGAGGAGAAGGGATATGTAACGAGTTGTAGATGCTGAGTACAAAGAACTCGGTTAGGAAATACCAGAGAAAAAGCGGTAGAGCTAACTGCTTCCTTATCTGTTTGTGCACATAGATGCATATGCTTGTATATATAAAATATAAGTATATATATATATATATAAAGAGAGAGAGAAAGAGAGGATGTCAAACTCTTCACACCACTTTGTTGACACAAAATGGGATCGTGCAAGAGGTAGGGGACGCTTCCAAGGCGACCCTGCGACAGCTAGTGGCCAAATGCGATGAGGGGGCCCAAACCCGCTTCCCGTTACTCCTCCTGTTATGAGGGCAATAGTGAGACATTAGCACAGACGAGCACGCAGCCGCACGAGAAGAGTGCTTCAGCACGGGCACCGGGAAGAATGCCATGTGCAACAGAAATGCTCGAGCAAGGGTGCGGAGATTATCTCAGCTGAGATCAAAGTGGATGAAGTTCGTTTTCATGCAACACTCTCTCTTGCCTTGTATTCTCTCACATCTGAGTTACAGCTTGTCGTACGCCGCTCGTAAGCTTGGGTTCCGCAACACGCGGTAGGCTTCATTAAGCTTGGTCATACTATCCAGGGAACCGCCCACGTCTGGGTGCTGACTCAAGACTAATTTACGATACGCGGAGCGTATTTCGTTTACCGACTCATTTCCAGTCAGGCCCAGGATCCTGTAATACCCCTTGGGGTCGGAAACGTAGCGTTGGCCAGCGCCACTATGGAAGCCTTTTGAGAAAGGGAAAGGATCAGAGCTGGTGGCGCCCGAAGAGCCCGCATTGCGCGGACGCTGCTGGTACGTGTGTGTATCCCAGTAGGAGGAGCTGAAATATTCCTGTTCAAAACGTCGTGATCGAAGGGTTGGGCGGTAGCCTTGCTTGTCAGCGAGATCAAATTTTTGCCGAAGCCGTTCACGTTGCCGACATTGATAGTTTTTATATAAGGATGGATACCACTTCGTGGCGAAGAAGGCTATGTAGTATGCCACGATAGCTGTTATGGTACCAAAAATGAAACCAGCTACTTTATTGGTTGTTTGAGCCACAAGTACGAGCAGACTAACCAGCGCTGTGGCGCGGGCAAGATATAATGCGTTGAGCAAGCGTGGACCGCTTACCGTGCCGTCGATACCGGACACAAGTAGGGTGTATTCCTCTCCATCATAGCTCAATTTGATAGTGAAGCATGGTACAAAACACGGATACACCTCATTGATTTTGATATCTAAGTGTGAGAAGGTAATGGACACCATGCTTGCAGTGGGATGGAAAGAACGGATAGTGGACTCAGCGATTTGCGTCACCTGTTCCTTGACGTTTCTCGCTATAAAATCTCGCATGACTTCGATGGACTGCTCAAAGAGATTTATTTCGGCGTTGGTGGTGTCTATATAGTTCATCTTATGCATCAACGTGTAGTTGGACGTACTTTTGAGCGCATAGTGCACATTTGTGATGTTGTATTTGTAGCCGGCGTAGGTCTGTGTTTGTCCACACTCAAAGGTTGTTTCCAAGATCTGCGGGGAGGTTTGGACGTATCGCGATGAACTGCTGCTATGCGCGTTGTTTTGGTTCCCTCCGGTCTCGTTGTAGGTGACCGTACCTGTATAAACTCCGCGAACGCGGCCAGAACACAAATAAAACGGCAGAAACTCTTTGGTAGGCCGCTCAAACGACATGCACTTCGTCTGTGCACTGAACCAGCCTTTGTTATATTTCGCTTCTGCACATTTAATAGCTTGGTCGGATTTCAGAACAAAGTTGACCCCACGTGGTGAATGAATTGTGAGCTGCCATATGCTAGTTTTTCTAAACATGATTTAACACCTTTGAGTATTTGGTGTTCAAATATACTTGTTCGGTGTGAAGATAGGACATAAACGGAGACAAGAAAGTCACGACAATGCGACAACAATTTTTTTAAACAAAACAATACTTATTCTTACTACTAGTGTGATTGGATAAACAAACCGCTGGAGTAAACATTCAGCAATGATAATAGTAAATATGCTCACTTAAAAAGCTTCAATACTATAAAGTCCGTACTAGATTGGATTTATTTTCATTTTTTGATAGTCGCTTTTCCTCTCGATTGAACAGAACTTCCATGCATCCAGACAAACCTTTCATGACCTTTTTCTCAAACCAAACTACCCGATCAAACAAGGCAGCACAGTGTGTGTCGAGGGGAGGGTCACACACGGGTTGATAGCACCCTCCATTCCCACTTCCCCTTCTACATCTTCATTTGCCGCTGACAATAACATTTCCGGTTACGCCCATTCCGGTATCACCCCTTCTAACCACTTTTCGACCCCCGTTTCGCATTTCAGCGCACCTTTTTGGTCACCCTTGCCCAATGCCGAAACCGCACCACGTCCACTAGCACCTCTTCCTTCCCATCGGCTGCAGCGTCACGTCTGAAAATCCCCGAGTCCTTGCCTTCGTGGGGAGGTACTCGGAAAACACGGATGGTGGGGATCATTAGTATACTCTCATCCATCGTCGCGTGGACCATCACCTCGGTGGAGGGCCGTTGACCGCTGAGGCTTCGAGGGCACGTCCGCTGCTGCCTATCAGCGGCAACACGAACGGCATCCGGGGAGGGTGAATAGAATCGTCTTGTTATCTCCGGGCTCCGACTGTTCGGGCGATGCGAAGGCCCCACACTGGGGTCTTCGGGAAGAAGCGGTAGCGCCGTGAAATACATCGTGAGGTCCTCCGTCGCCGAGAGCGTTTGCCGTTTGCGCTTTTTGCCAATCACCATCCACTGAGTGGGATCACACTGCAGCTCGATAAAAAAGTCATCCACAACACCGGCATCCTCCGACCAGTTGTGAGTGAGGGGGTGCAGACGGACACAAAAGCGCACGGGCTCGCCGGCAACAAACACAAATTCGCTCGATCTCCCAACGATGGCGTCGTACGTCATCTCCGTGAGAGCCGCAACAGCGGTGCCCAAGCCGCCACTAGACATGCTTGACATACCTGCAGTGGGGTGGATGCAATCCGACGTCATTCCATTTTGCGTTGTCCAGGTCGACTCCGCTTCAATAACGGCGCTGAAAAGACAGAGATGCGTAGAGCGAAAGGACGCCGGCGGGCCGTAGTACGCGTTGCACGAGGAAGATAGAAAAACAAGCTCATCGGGATTGTAATCAACACTCCTATCAGTTGTCAACCCCCCCTCAGGTATCGCATCACTCTTGCGGTTTGGCGAAGAGGCAGTCGACAAAATTCGCGGAAGGACATTCGGATGGGGCCGGGAAGAAGCGGACTCTGGCGAAGCTTCCACAAAGGTGATTTCTGTCAGCTTGGCTGCTGCGGCGCTGTTGTCGGAATTCCGATTTACGTCGGTCGTTTCCCTTTGCAAATCTCGAACCCACGTAATGTTGGTTTCTGCACCCTCGCCCTGCGTGGATCGATTACCGTGGAGATGCGTAACGTGAAGAACGATACGATCTTCCTCGCTCGTTGTGAGGTACGTTTTTTGCCAGTTTGAATAGAATACTTCCACCTGAACACTATGGTGGAGTGCGGCTTCCACGGTGCTGGAGTCGCGGCGCAGTGCAAGCTCAAATAAGATCTGACGCACCTCCTGCGGCCTCCATTCTCGCGTGATCAGATCGTTGTATATCTCGCTAACATGAGCAACGTGGTAGATCGGTTTAGGGTCCAAAACATGCAGCACCACCCCACGCATCCACAGTGAAGTCTGCTTCAAGAGATTTCGCAGCTTGACGAGGCAGTAGACGCGGGATTCAAAGTGCCGGAAGACGTACTCCGCGGCGATGGCCTCTTGGAATGGAAAGGAAACACTGCAGCTGGTGGTGCTAAGGTCGCCTTGCCGTAGACAGCAGAAATAGATATCATTATTGATTTCCTGACCTTGGCAATGCGTCATGAAGAGAGGCAGAAGGGGGATCCGAAGCTCCATCTTGTGGGTGATTTCAAGAAGCGCCCGCAGATTTCCCGCGTCAGCCCTAGAAAGCGTCCGGGGGGTTTTGGTCTTGTCATCCGCGTCATTACCATCTTTTTCTCCCTTCTTTTCGATCCCTTGCCGATCCGCATCATTGGGTAAAAGCAAACAAAAGCGAGACTCCCGCCTGGGATACAGCAACACGCTCCCGAGCACCCCAAACGGCAACGGCACCTCCGAAGCCCCATCCTTCTCATCTTGATGATGCGATGAAATCGAATGCAGTTTCGGTAGCTGCGAAAAAGTGGCGTCGAGGTCGAGCGGGAGGACGATTCTCGATGGGCGCACCGTCGCCAGGTGTTGCGCGTAGCTTTGCGGGACCTCAAAACTCAAGGTATTCCCACTCGTATCCTTACACGTCGAACTGGGGAAAAGAAAGGCCGACGTGCTCGTGAGCACCACCCGCACGCGATTCCGCAACGCAAGGCGTGGACCCCCCGCCAAGAGGTCCTTTTCATCGCCTTCCCCGTCCACCCCACGCGCTCGTCCGCTGCACCCTTCAAGCGAGCCCATTCCCCGCTCAATATCCACCCCACTCCGCTGCGGGAAGTTCAGCTTCAGCGGCGTAAACGGCCGCACCACGGAGGCGCCTTTTCCACCCTCCTCTCGCCCAAGGGAGGGGGAAGGAGAAGGGGGCTCCGCGAAGACCCCTGGCGCGCACTCAATCCCCACCCCGGGGGCGTAAAACACGCAGGGTGGGGGGGTGAGGAAGGGGTCGGTGTAGGTTTGAACTCCTCTTCCCCCTGTTATCCCGGGAGGACGCAAACGAAGTGGGGGGCTGCTATGCGGTGCGATTGAGAGAAACGCAATGACGGAAGGATCCGTGGAGGAGATGACGCCTCCTCCTCCTCCTGTTGTGTCCGTTGATCCCCAACGAGAGGGTCGTCGCATTGGAGGGAGGGGAAAGGCGGCCTCCGAAGGGGAAGGAACCCCACCACCGTAGCGACCCCGCGCAGGAGAGCTCACCGGACCCTCCTCGAAGGAGCACCCCGATTCAAACTCTTCGTCCTTTCCCGCCTTAAACTCATGAGGGTTGGTCTTGGGAGGGAGAGGGGGGATTGTGTTCGAAACACGTGCGTGATCCGAATCTGTCGGGGCCCCTGGCTGCCGCGATGGCACCTCCAGAGGTTCCTCCATTTCAATCCCGACCGTGAAATACGACAACGCGTCGGCAAAGCAATGCTCATCGCCCGGAGGGCGGCTAATACTGAGGCGAACCTTCCCGGCGCGCTCGAGGACGTGAAATAACACCTGCGAACACGCGAAAGATGGAGCCGTGGAGCCCTGGGAGTGCGGGATGGGATTGCACACACCCGTTTCATCATCCATGGCTCGTGGATGGATGGGTTGAGAAAGGCTTAAGTTGGGGTTGCCTTGCGCCGTACTGGTGGACGCGAGATCCACATGAGGGGGGTAGTAACCAAGCCTCGTCGCCCCATTCACCAACTGGACGCACCGCAGACGGTAATGCCCGGCGTGGCATGGATGGGTTTTAAAGCAAAGCTCCAGGCGGTGCGTCTGTGGATTGTAACAAGCTGTGCTCGGATTCGTGAGCTTGAGGAGGTGGATCGGCTCTTCTGAATTGCTCCATTCCTTTCGAGATTCCAAAAGAGCTGAAACTGTTGTTGTTTGGCAACGAGAAGAGAGAACCGTGCGTAAAATATCGACCGGACACTCCGCATTAAAAAAAATACTCACCGGCTCGAGGAGCGCAACATTAATTGTTTTCGTTGTAGGTGTTGTCGGGCCTTCCACTTTGCCCGAGGGTACTGCCCATACACATGGATTCCACAGAACCACGTCAAGAGAAAACTCCGGTGCCCTTCCCTTAAGCAAAGGCAGCTCTACTAATGCATCCACGCGCAACATCATCTCCCAAAAGTCGGACTTTTTCCTTGATGGAAACGCATAACTTGGAATTGTAGTGTGGCTCATATCAATCCCAGGGCTTCCAGGAAGGCTATACGAAATGGGTTGAGAGTATGCACCTCCGCCTCTGTGCTCCGAGGTGAAGCCTATCAAGAATAGCAGGCATTCCTTAAACAACGCGTACGGCGTCTTCGTGTTGAACAACAGCAACCACACCCGTTCCCTCGTCGTCGCATCCCAGCCGTGTTCACGTGCTTGAACGAGGGAAAATAGCTTGTGAAGGCTTTCAACGTACAACCACCGGGAGGCGTATTCCAGACAACGCCAACTATGCTTTTCAATAAAAGGAATCAGGCGGGTCGCCGCGATCGTAGCGGTGAGCTTCGGATTCTCATGTAAAAGAGAGAGCGCGAGAGCCCCGTAGTCCGCATACTCCCGCCGGTGCTGTCCTGAAATCCCGGAGGCGGCGGCAGACAGGGCGGTGAGAAGCCGCCAAAATCGCCGCGCACTTCCCGGCGTGGAGAACTTCTCAACCTCGAATAAGGACCGTTGTGTTGCCTGCCTGACATCGCTGGGCAGACTATCGCAGCTGTTACTTTTGCTGTGGGTGTTGAGGCCTTCCCAATTCGTCGCGACGTTGCCATAACCAAGGCCCTCACACAGCTGGAGGTGCACTTTTTTCGCGGAGGCCACGAGCGCGGCGATCTCCGCGCAACTTCTCCGGAGGAGTGCCGCGCTGTCGACATCGTCGGCGATGATCGCAGGGGTGGCGTCATTCGGGACGAGCGCGAGGAGCTTGGCGAGCTCGACCAAACGGGCAACAGAATCGTTCAGCGTGTTTTTGCCCTCGAGAAAGAACATCCCCATGAGCTTCTGCGGCAGCGCTTGGCCGTCTGGAAAGAGGTTCAAGGTGGAAGGGTCTTCACCGTCGTCGCCCACCCCACGGACCAGATCCGAATCCATCACGTCACCACACAGCAGCCTTAAAAACGAGCTCTCGAGCTGCGGGAAGTCGTCGGAAACGGTGGCTAAAATGGCAGCGCCGTTCCCTTTGCGATGCACCGGGGCATTTGGCGAGCTCCCACCTCGCGCGTCGCCGTCGACCCCCCCAAAGGCATCCAGCGAGGAGGCCGGAGACGCTGGCAGAGGCGACGAAATCAGCCCATAGGTCAGCCATAAGCTCGACAGCCCGGAGAGAAAACATTTCAATAAAAAGTGATCCCGATGAACCTGTGGGAGCATCGCCGCGGGCGGCTCGGTGAACTTCTCATGCACCACATCAATAAAGGTGTCGAAGAAGCGTTTCTTGGCGGTCGTCGCCTGGTCATCAAGCAGTGTTACACAAGTCATGGCGTGCGCAGTGATCAGAAGAAACCCATCAATCAACTCCGCCCCCTGCTCAACTGCCTTGGGGTACCCCATCAACCCCGATTCACCTCCAATATGCCGCACATCGAAGAGATTAGGCATCCTGGCCAACCTCTCCAACGTTTCCGTCTTCCCTACAAAGCTGTAGTCGTCGGAGTTGTTGTAGTACTCCATGTAAAGTCGTCCGTAGACGCCACTCGCTTCGCGTAGAAAACCAAAGATAAGGTATTGCCGCGCGAGGTCGAGACCGTATTGCCAAAACCGTTGAATACTCCATGTGGTGGGGACCGCCGTCATGAGGGGGGTCGTCGCGTTTAAAACGGACGGCCTCGCGGGTATCTGGTATTTGTTGAGTGGGGTTTGAGGCAAAGAGGCTGCTGAATTCTCCACCTTCGCGTTATGGAGGTTTCCATTCGTGGTGGAGCTGTTAGAGCGTGAATGGGGCCCCGATAGAGGGGGAGACGGGCATGGGGATGAAATGCTCGGAAGCCGGTCGTGGTTGGGATCGGAATCCTGAGCTGCGGCCGATCCCGTCCGGGCGGCTGGGAGCACGAGTAAAAGGCTTTCATTGCTATTCGTGCCCACATGACGCGTGTAGTTCGGGTTTCCTAGCGCCGGCTCCCGCGGTAAGGATTGCTTTTTTTCTAAATATCGTCGAAACGCATCTTCTAAACTGCGCATCCGCCTAATGGAGGCGACTCGCAAGCACTCAAGGAGCTTTTGGGGGGCTTCGTGTGGAATGTAGATGCATACCTGCTGCGGCGCGAAGCGACAAGCCCGGAGCTCAGCGTAGTAGGGTTTCAGGGCGGCCGCCGCGGCGTCTCTCTTCGCCTGAATCGTTGATGCGGACTTTCCCTTTGAGTTTCCATCTTCGGCAGGGTTTTGGTCTTTCAGAGTCAACGACTCAGGGCTGGCAAAGTCTTTGTGGTGAAGTAACACTAAACTAGATTCGTTCCCATCTTTCGTTAGCTGCTCACGCCATTCCTTTGCGATACTCGCGCAGGATTTTGGACGGGAGTACGGTTCGTTGGTGGAGTACACAAATATGTTCAACGCTGCAACGCCGCTTCCCGAAAAGACCTCAAGGGCCTTTCCAAATTGTATCGTAGCGGAACTTCCTACTCTCTGCGTAGCGTTGCTCCCTCCGTTCGGTTTCAATTGTTGAGGATGAATGCTTGAGGTGGGAATGGGCTTCGAAAAGCAGGCTTGAAGCTCCCGAATGGTCTCCTCTACACAGTGGGGGGTGGCAACTTGTCGGCCTTCCTGATCGAGATGCCGCACAAAGCAAACTACAAGAAGTGGATTGAGATGAAAGATGGACTGAAACGTCATCTCCGGAGGAGGGCAATGATCTCTTTCAGCATGGGAACCTGCCTCGGAATGACGAAACGGACGATGCGGGGAGCTAAACTCTCTTGAAGCCTGAAATTGGGAGGAATCTAATCCCGTGGTTTGAGCAGATGATCTTGAGGAATGAGCTGCAAGACAGTGTAAACTAAGCGGTTGCATAGAATTCTAAAAATCTGCGCAATATTACTTTCCTGACGAAAGCAAAGCAAAAGGTTGAGGGGGATAGTATTAAAACGTGAGGAAAGATGTTATGTGGTGTTTTGAGCCGCATTGTACTCGCTCACGCCATTTTCTTCATCTAACTAACACCATAATTTTTTTTTGGTGATTGTTATATATTGTACGGCTTCTCCTTAAGGATGCAACGATCATGCGATATATGGAAACGAGGTTATTAAACCTGCATTAGTTTACGATTATAGTGGTTTCCCTGTTGTGTTGCCACGTAAAGAAAAAGAAACGAAAACCAAATACCATAAAAGGAGTTTTCTTGATGAGTGCTAAATATTTACTATTTTTCCTCATTAATTGTACAATTATGACTACTGCTTGCAATTCGCATGCTTATTACCCGTCTCCGCGTCACCTTTGAAGCATTTTATAACATAACAGCATCTTCAACTTGATACTCATTCGCAGAACCGCCCGCAATAAACCTGCGATTGAGCTCCAAACGATCCACCCACACATCATGCCTATAGGTACCATCCTGGTTTTTCTGCACTCCGAGAATCGTCGCGTTTCCAAAGCACTTCAACACCTCCGTTGCATCAAACAGTCGAGACTTCGGATCTGAGGACCATTTTTTGTTGATAATAGTCAAATGAAGCAACTTAGAGTGATTGGCCTCATCTTGGTTGTCGATCAGCTCCGCAAAGGTGTCGAAAAGCAAGTCCTGAAGGCGTCTAAGAACGTCGGTGTTGTGAAGCTCCATGTAGATCACGCCGCTTTGGCGAGGGTCCGGTACCTTCTTTCCACGATTTGGCATCACCCGAAGCCCGCCGAGCGTCACCCGCACCCCGGCCGCTTTCCCGGAGTTGTTTTTTACTTCCCTCTCGGACTCTGAGTTCAACAAAGAGTTCCAGCGCTCCTCGAATGCGTGAAGGAGAGTCTTTGCAAACTCTACATCCTTCTCGTTGTGAAGTGATAGCATCAACAGGGTAATGTGCAGCTTATCAACTTTGGTTACGTCTTCTGGTGTGGGGTATCGGACGGGGAAGCGGCCACCACCCTTTTGTTTGTTCATTGTTGGTTTGTTTGAATTCGAGGCCCCGTCGACGCCGCAACGTTGTTCGAGGAAATCGCATAAGTTCTTTAAAAAGGCCTCTGCCAGCGGCCGCACCGCCGGAAGTTTTCCGATTGGAAGAGAGATAAAATGGGTATACTGAGACGACTTCGTGCTCAATTGGTGTGGCTGACTAGTTTTTTGGGTGCTCGAGGTAGCGGTATCTCGCTTTTCAGGTAGTACTGATTCCTCTAGCGGTTCATCTAAATCATCGCTTGGATCATCAATCAACGTAGTCCCGCAGGCGGCGGCGTTAATTTTCATGCTGCCATCCTCTTCTTCTGTTCCCGGACGAGGGTCCGCAGAATAGTTAGCTTTTCTACTTCCATCTATACCAAGAGGCTCCACAAATTGACGATAAACCCGATGCGTATTAGGCATCTTGTATAGGCGCACGCCGGGATCATTGGTAGATTCTGGAGGTTCCAAATCAAGGCGACACTGCTGCTGGAAATCTGACGCACTTGCGGCTGTATCGGTATTGGGTTCTGGGCTAAGACAGCTGCCGCACATGCGCCGAATATCCACGGAAGTCTTTGAGCAATGAGGGCAGGTCCACGCCTGATCGCGCGGCCGCGTAAAAATTATGCTGCGTTTCTTTCCCGCGTGAGTCCCCCTGCGTGCGGCTGTTTGGCCTCCGGATGCATTTGATGATGACGGTACCGGTGGCTGAGACATGACGTGAGAGGTGGGAAAAAGCAAACTCAAAAAAATGTGTTTCTCTTTTTCTAAGATGAAGCCCCGCTACTCGTCATATAGCCCTCGATTTGAGAATGGAAACGGAATGATTTATCGACAAACACTCTGAAGCACGGGTGTTTATCAAAAATGATGACGCTAATTATGTTCGTATATATATCTATATATGTATGCGTGTGTTCAATAATATTATGATCGTTATTTACCGCCCCTTTGCCAAAATAGGAAAATGTGAAGGGAGATCAAATGATAACATCAAGTATTACAAGCCTTCCAGTTAATTCCGTTCTGATCCCTTCTTACAGTTAGCAAATAGATGTTTTAATGGCAAAAGAAAACACCCTTATTCACCTTCTAATCCTCATCAATATCAATCGCCAGATGGGGTGTACTACCAGGACGAAACGGAGAGTACATGCTTGGATCTATAGATCGCAACTCTTTCCGTCCAATCTCCAACTGCTGGTTCCCATAATGTGTATAATTAAGCGCATTTTCTTCGCGGCCTCGTGGATCCTCGGCCCCATGATTGCTGAGGGTCCGAGTAACGGCTCCTTCGTCCTCCACACGCTGGCGCTGGAAAAGTGGTGGCACTGCCCCTGCGGGGCTGCGATCTACGTCCAACTCAAGAGCTCGGCGATTCCAATGTCCATTTTGAGTGGCCTCAAATCTGCCGTTAGAGCCAATGCTACGCTCCCGCACCTGCATGCCAGTCTCGAAGGGTTCCCCCCCTGTTGGCGAACCCATTTCCGCTTCATGGTGAACCTTCTGCACCGTGCCCGTGGCCAAATCCACCTTCAGCCCCATGGCATGGAGCAGGCCCCGGAGGTGCGAATCGGTCCCCACGCGCGATCGAATAATATCATCCACCAGGCTAATAAACGTCCGGTCCGGCGTCCCGGTGGTGTGGGGAAGAGATGAAGAGGCGGGTGGGGAAATCCCCCCATTGCCCCCCGCCTCCTCCCCCGCGCGGGCCTGCGCGT